CGTGTGCTCTTCCGATCTAACTGTTGTACATAAAGATTAGATTTGAGAAGATTAAATTGTCTCACGCATCAAGTTTTATACGTTAAAACTCTTAGTGCCTAATTTATTTTAAAACTGTATTGAGAAATTCTCTAATCTTACCTGGAATTTTGAATAAAGTTCCTGGAAAATCCGGGAATTTTCAAGGAATTCTTTTACAAAATTTGAGTACCCACCCTGATTTCAAATTACGTCTAAGTGGTTGCTCGATATATTTGTATCTCTTTTCTTAACAATTGCGCAGCTTTTTTTACCAAGCGTCGTCTTACCAAGTATGTATAGAGTTGTGTGGATAGCTTTAACGTTACGTGCCATTTGCCTAGAATTGCTGCGTAACGCTTCCGACGCTCTCGCACGAACGGAAGATCCCGCTCTGCGAAAGCGTAGTCTCGTAGCTTGATGTCTCTTCACTATGCAGAATATGTGAACGTATATGCAAATCATGGCGGCGAATGGTCCGAAAAAGAGGCTACTAAACAACATTCGAAATTGCTTGTGAAGTAGAAACCTGAAAGTTAGAACGTTCCTTTTAGTATATATCAATCAATTAACTCAATTACACTTTGCAACGTACTTGAAGAATATTCAAGTATAAGTACACGATATGTATATGATATGAATAACAATTTACGTTCGACATAATTTCATGTTTGTATTATCGCAATTTTGCGGCAGTGCAAAACTCGCTTTTTTTATTTTTACGTTACATAAAATTTAATTCATAGAAAAATATTAACATTTCCTGTCATCAAGACATTTAATGATGATAATTAAATTGTAAAATTTAATTAACGGTACATTTCCTCTTAATTACACTTACTCGTAGTTTTTGCATCCTTCAGACTGGAAACCATCGTTTTCAATTAGATTAAAGTACAGCGCGAAGAAGGAAATGGGTAGCACCCACAGCAGAACTAATAAAATCGTCGTATTTCTTGAAAGGAAAATGAAGATACAGATTGTACTGCTCGCGGAGAGTCTTTCGAAGAATCAATTTCAAAAAAGTAAATTGTGTTACCTGTATGTCAGGATCGAAAGGTAATGAAGGGGCTTGAGAATGCCCAGATAATGATTGACAGCCAAAGCCATTAGATGAAATACCGTAATTATCACGCCTCCCACTCTCACAGCTTCGAGAGCCAGTAAAAAACAGTCAATGCCTAAGAGGAACGTGATCGAATACTTTTGATTTATTTATTTTTTTTTATATTCACAAAATGCTCGTTCGCATGTTTCGCTTTGTGATTTTAAAACTCTGTTAAAACAGCTCGTCTATGTATGGAAAGAATCGAACAGACGCGAAAAGTTTCTACGATACTTTGTAAACAAAGTTATTATTAAGCGCATTTTTTTTTTAAAGTTATCTTTTCAAACTAGCTTTTTTCTTCGATAAGTGTTAACTTTTAAGACTCATTGCTTCAAAATTCTTAAATTGAAACTGAATTATGTTATATGAAGTTACAAATGCATTTCATTAAACAATTAATAACGATCCATATTAACAAGGTTTTACCTTGCAAATTGATTCCGAGACCTACAGGTATGAAGCTATTCAAGACTAGTCCTATTCCCAGAATACTGCTGGTAAAAGCATCTGCACCTAAAATTATTTTCAGAGGTAGCTTCAATATACCTTTTAATTTAAAAAAAAAAAGAATTGAATCTTTATGTAAAAAAAATTAAAAATATGTTTATATCGAAATGTAGAAAAAAATGTGATTTTTCAAGAAATACTCGCTCAAATTAAAAAAAAAAACAAGACTGTTATAAGACTTTTAAAGAGATCATTTTTGATTCTCACTGCCATTTAAGATTTTTAAAGGAATTATTAAGAGACTGAAACAACACGATTGAATTTATACATTCCTCTTAAAAATAAAATTTATGTGATTCGATATATTTCGCACAAATCATTATAAAAAAAAAAACGGAATAGAAAGTTTTCGTGCAATTCTTGTATATACAATTTCTGTATATATATATACATATATATATATATACCTATATATATACCTATATATATATATATATATATATATATTTCTGAATATGTTCTGTACATGCTATATGTATATGTATATATTACTACTATTATTACCTGCTAGACTCAAACTGATATATAATGTTGGGCTGAGTGGACGCCTAATCCAAAATACGCACAGCAGAACCCTGATATTTACTATTATTGAAATGATACAGAAGAGGATCAATGCTGGCGTTCCATACAAGTACAGTTCATCGATATTTCCGATTTGATCCAATATGCTCACGCTCTGCGTCGCCGATTCATTAATCATTGTCACGTTCGTGGTTTCTATCGACATGCTCGTAGATTCTATCGACCCTTCGAACACGGAACTATTAAGTGTAGCGATGTCAGAGATTGATAAATTTAATGTGCTATATGCACGTCGTGTTGCGACAATTTCCTCGGTCTGCATAATGTCATCATAACATCATAATAATATTTATTTTCGTATTCTCCTCTTTTAATATTGAAATATTCACCTTTGTCTTCCCGACACTGAATATTCATAAATCATTTACCTCGAATTGCGCATCTTATGTAGTTGAGCATTTTAAGTTTGGTAACAGCTGGTTACTTTGCGTTCTCGAACTTCTATCTGGAAGAGTAGAATTAATATTAATGAAGAAAGATTCTATCACCAAACAATTAAAAGTAAAAAATAAAGGCGTAGACAGCAAATATGTTCATATAGTAAATCTATTGTGAGATTATATATAAAATATATCTCCTTTTCTAAATATTACATTTCTTACAATTAAATACGTAAAGTACTATTTATATTTAGTACTTTTCGATGAGACATAATCATGAAATCGTGATATTTTTGCTAAACCTTGAGTTTTTATTTTATCATAGAGAGGTTTACAGATATTTTGTTTTGATAAACTTAGAGGAAACGTTAGATTGTCGAATATAATGAGATCATAATTTTATAAAAGTGCAAAAACATTTTATTTAATGTAGGTTACGCGTACATTTTACGCATTTTTCTTCCAAAATTAAATACAAATGACTCGCAATATTTATCTATCGACTCGTTAACGCGTGAGTGAAGTATCTCTGAAGAAATATGCGTCCCCAATAATTCTCCCGTCTGCTTGATGTTCCTTCCTTCGAACCTTGCTTTTTTTCTTCTTCAAAGATCCGAAATCCCGATCGTTCCAGGAGTTCGTAGGCGATAAAACGCGGTAATACACTTTTGTCCCCTCGCGTTTTTCATTTTGCAACTTTTCAACGATTATGAGACGATGATAAAATTTTGATAAATTGATTATGTCATATGTTCGGTCCTTCGTGCGGGAAAGATCTCGGGTGTCAAATCTTACGGCGCTCGCGAGGCGACGTGCCGAAAATTTTCTACTCCCGGTCATCGTTAATATTCAGACGTGATAACCACTTCGGTTGCTTTGGGATGGATTATAATTTACGAGAAAATAGCGCGTAGCCGCATGAGAGAGGGAGAGAGAGAGAGAGAGAGAGAGAGAGAGAATCTGAGGAACAAGTCTAATCTGCAAAGAGCTAAGTGTATCGTTCTCTCGGGACGAAAGCTGCCGACTCGGAAGTTTGCGTATTCATTTTGATAAACTTTCGCGCGACACTTCATAATTTTTACTTAGAGCAGATGGAAATTATAAATTATTATTTCATGATATTTACAGGTGACATTTATTTTTTCTAAACAGATTCTTTAAAACTCGAATCTCGCGTCGTTGGATTTATCGTCAGTTGTATGTAAGATAGATTTGGTGTTTGTATGTCGATAAAACCTGTTGAAATTCTCTATCATTCGAGGTTTGTGTGCTAATTTCTGAGATACATCGCGCGGCACTGAAATGTAATAATATTAGAATGTGTGCGTGTCAATGTGACAGATAGACACTAATATTGAATAACATTTTTTTTGTCTCGTCAAAGTCTCATCAAATGTTGATTCGATCATAGCGATGATTTAAAAGAACTTCTAAAAATTTTATATTTTTATAGAACTGTAATTTTTTACAAAACTTGTTTAAATTATTTAAAAAATTATGTGATATAATAATTGGAAAAATCAATATTCTTCCCTAATATCTGCATCTTTCAATAACATCGATTTACCTAAAATAATTTATTTTTAAAATAAAATTTCTAATTTCCTTCCCTTATAGAAATTCAATTTAGTACTCAAAATAAATAATTAATTACTATCTTCCAGTATTAAAGTCTGTATAGGTTCCTATAAAGAATATGTAGCGTCTCGCTTGAAAGGAATATATTTTACGATAAATATATTTTGCACGAGACGCTGCTGCGTCCTTTAATGTATAATGTATTCGATATAATTAATTGAAATATCTTATGTTTGCTGTTATAATAAATCTAATTTACTGCAGTTGTGAAATTATTTTTTAGTTAGTATTAAGATAAAAAATGTTTAGCTGAAAAGAGAGTTTTATGATAGATGAATAGATAGATGGCAGAAGAGTTTTATGATATACGCAACACTTTAATCATTGTCAGGCGATAGACAATTTTACACAGAATCTGAATTTCATATGATCGCTCTCACATCAAAAGAGAATTTATGCAATTTATTTTTGATCGGATGTTACCAAGAAGAATCAAGGGAAATTGAGCGACACGTATCAACTTCTTTTTGACGAGAAAAAAATGTGGAAAATGGATGGTCATCTCTCTTAGAATGTTTTCAATAATTTCAATCCATAAGATAGGCTGCGCACGCATTCTGGTATTATTATAATTCCGTATGTCGTCTATTATTCGATACTATCATCTAATTGTCCGTGTTGTTCTTTCGTCGCGATGTAAAATGCGCGTCTCGTTAGTCGCGTCGGTTAAATGCCGATGCAAATATCGGGTGATCGTATATACATTCTGGTTATTAGTGCGCGCGATTGTAATTAAGAGTAAGGAAAATTGTCAATATTTGTCAGTGTTATTTTCCCTCCTCTTTCCTTTCTAAATATTTTTTAAGTAAAGTTCTTGCTTAAAATAGAGTGCCTTTGGCCTTTCTCGACACGTATATATCTAATATGCCTAGAGTTAAATATTATATAAACTGATGTAAATAGATTCAATAAGTTTTTTTATATATGCATGTCATAAGCTTGTACATAAATAGAAGAAAAATTTAACGTTTACTTTTTATAATGCGCTTATCTTATTCAGAGCTTATCTTATTATATTGAATCTTATTTAAGAAATAATCTAAGGTTGCCTCAGTAAATAAATTATATATCACGTTTTGATAATTAATGTAATAAGCAAATTAACATTAAATTTCTTATTAACGTTTCTGCTTAATTAGATTAAGCTGATATTAAACTGATTTCATTCGTATTTCGAAACTCGTGGGTCGGAAGCTCGCAATTAGTTACATAACAAGTGACTAGAGTATATTTGCGCTCCCAATCGAATTTCCTACCCACGCATTTCCAATCGCGATTCCGTTTGTGTGTCTTCAGTTTATTATGAATTTCGTCGAAATATAGACGGAAATCGGCTTTTCGCACGTTTCGTCGAGTAAATGAAGCGAATGGAACGTGTAAAATTGGATCATTTTGATCAACTGCAATGCTTGAAAACGTCATTTTAAATGTACGTGCAGCGGTAGAATGGCAAATAATGTAAGTAAAATATTCATATTTAATTTCCTAATTTTATATATCTATTATTCTAAAAATACATGAAATACATAATAATATAGTAAGATAATCATACACAAGAGGAAAGAACAATTTTGCTGAATCTAGATCTGAAAATAATTTTTGTTCAATAGTCAAAATTATTTTGTGCGAAAGTCAAAATGATTGCTAGAATGTCAAAATGTTTTATAGCAATACTTATCATGCAGTTTTCCAACAAATTATTTTGATGATTCAATAAAAAATTATTTTCAGATCTGTTTTTAGCAAAATGTTTAGGTCTTTCAACAAAATCGTTCTTTTCGTGTATGTTTGATAATCATATGTCTCTCATAATGCATTCCAGCTAATTGTAATATGTACCATAGGAAATATTTTCAAATAATAATTCCATAATAGATGGTCCTGATGTTTTATAAACTATTTATATATTTATATATTTATTGATAACTTGATTTTGAGAATCTTTAAAATTGTCGAAATTGTAATTTTTCTCTTAAACAAAATAAGTAACGCATATAAACAGTTCAATTTTTCGCAAAGTATATTATACCGAAAAAAATGTGTTATTTATCACAGCTTTTTGAAATAGAGCGTATTTAATTAATTGGACACTGGAAGCATTAAAAATAATTGCAGTGGATTTTTCACTCACTGTGTCGGGTATACATATAAATTTATCGCGGTAATACAAGTGAATTGATTAAAAAGTAATTGATTACGTCGTTACGACAAGGGAAGTATCCTATTCTTCTCCTCTTCCTTTTCGATTCCACTTCCATTGGTGGACTAATTAAGATAAATCTGGATACTGTGCGTAACGGTGCGCGAAATCATTTGTATTGTCGTTAAGCGTTTTTTGCAAATTACGATTTATAATTTCATCATTATATGTTGTCCAAAATGTATTTTATTAATAGCTTAATAACATCTGCAATTGATCTTTTCTTTCAATAATTACCGATTGAAAGGAACGTGCTTTTGAATTAAACGAGAATTATTCAAGAAAATAAGATGAAAATTCAAATTCTGAAATTAATTTTAAGTGCACTACACTTCGACAGAATTTTAATCTGGAGCTTAGTGGTAAGGATATACAGTATTAAAGATTGTAGAGATTGGAGTATTCATTGATCCTTCTTGATATTTGTTTTTTTTTTCTTATGAAAAGGTCAATTCTAAATTTAACAAAAAAGTCGGTTATAATAAGATACAAGGAATATATAAATTTTATTAAAATTTTGATTTTTTGGAAATTATTTCTATTAATAAAAATTGAAATTACAAGCCGTACATAATCTAACACATTTTGTTTCTTGAATAAAAAGATAAAAAATCATTGGTATAATTTTGGAAGCATTATGATCTTCCAAATTAGTGCTGACTCACGATAATCTTCTTTTCTTATGTTAATCTCTCTCTCTCTCTCTCTCTCTCTCTCTCTCTCTCTCTCTCTCTCTGTGGCGAGAGTATAGTTCAAAACGGGACGAATCTTTATACAATCGATCGAAAACATGTAGACTCGAGGGCGTAATATGTAAAGCAATGTCTCGAGAGGAAGAAAAACTTAAAACTTAGAAATTTTAAGATAGAAAATTCTAAGATAGAAGAGATAATAATGTCATTAGTTTTGTGATGTATAGACAACGTAATGGAAATGGTGCAAAAGAAATTACGAACCACTAAGATTATCTCAACGCGTGTGATGCAAAATAAGATCCCAGCCTCTGTGACTTAAAATTTTTCTCAAAGGCAAATTAAAACGAGAGCCACGAATATTTCAAGTTGAGGAACAAAGTCTTTTGAGCAATTTCTCCGAGATAAACTGATATATTTGCCATGTTCGCGGTTATATATTGCGTACCATATTGCAGAAGTCTGCCAACTGTTATTATACTCGGGTTTCTCTTTTGTTTTACTTTGAACAGTTTTAAGTTCCTCGCATTTCTTT